GAAATAAGAATAACTAAACGAAAAGTATTGACCGTTATTTTTTTTTTTCGTCAATTATATTTAGGTCTGAGTTGAACCATTAGTCTGCATGTACAAAAGTTCAGCTATATCCTTCTGGTTTTTACAGTCTTCTTAAATACACCGAAAAATTTATGGCTGAAAAAGCCACATATTTTATCATTTTTTTTCCATCAAACACCAATTCATTTTTTTAAAACAGTTTAAACCTATCATACAACAAACTAGAAACTATTTTTTACACGATCATCCCTTCTCTTACAGGACTATTAGTAAACTATCAAAAAATAGTCATAACCTTTCGCTGTTCAAATACAAGTATCAGATCACTGAAACAGAATATTCTCCGCTAGACTATCTAACAGAGAAGAAAGACATCGATTATGATTAGACTCTGTTCAAAAATTGATACTGGTATTATTCAGTAATGTACAAAATACTGAAAAGGTACGTTTCTTCTTCCAGTTCATCGTCAGCGTTAATGACGAAGAGTAAAACCTGAATGATGAATTAAATAAATGAACGAGTTTTATCGTTATCGCATATACACGTCACCACTACTCATTAATATATTTTTACAAAAGTTTGATTATTTAATGATCTTTGTTAAAAGTACTTCCAACAATAAAACTTAAAAAGTAACACTTTATTGTCAAAAGATACGACGGGCGTGTAGGAATACCATTAAATCTAATAATTCCAACGCAAAAAAACTGCTCTTGATTGTTTTATTTCTTACTCATTCTAATATTTACCATTGAGTTTTAAAACAGATTCAAGAAACCATTAAACAAGAAAAAACCTCTAAGCGTATTTTGACTTTAAAGATAACAAAAAAATATTCTTTTTTGTAAAAGGAACCTGCACAATAAATAGAGAGAAAAAAGTACAAACCTCAACAGCTTCAGCTTTCTTATATGGCAGAAATGTCACCGACAATGAGACAGATTCTTTGGCTTTCAGGATAATATAATCACTTTCTACGTGTAAAATTTGTGGCTGTGAAGAAATGATACGATATTCTTTGGTGACACCGTATTCGTTACCAATCATAATCTTCTGTAACATCAAATAAGCGGTATAACGACAATTTTTTAACAGAAGTTTTGGTTAATCTGTGCTTTAAAAACAACTAAAAAACTTCTAAAATCAATGTTTGCGCATGAAACAATTTACTTTTTTTTCCACTGTATTTGTTAACATCGAGATTTCAAATGTTTTGACAATGTTTGGCCGTTTAACAAATGCATATATCAACCATTGTCCCAGAAGTTGCCGAGAACTAACGCTAACAGCCGATAACATAAAAACCCTCTCACCTGAAATAAAACATAATTAGTCACTTATTATGCTCAACAAAGTAAAACTCCCAATTTCTCAACAATTTGAAGAATTAACAAATGATTATACCAGAAAAATTGGGAGTAAATAAAGCGGTTGTTGTTTGAGAATCTGGTTTAGTCCCCATAAACGGCTGCTGCGATGCAGTAACATCGATAAGCGTTGTAGATGAAAATAGTCGGAAAAGTTGATTCTGTTCAGTTCTGCAGTAATTGTCTTTTGAAAGACAGAATGCATTGAATAAAACCAAAAAAATAGTGTAACTAAAATTCCTAAATTGTGCAGAAAAAAATTCCAATAGAGTCTAAAACAGTTCAGCAATAAAAATTAAATAAAGTACAAGACAGCCAAACAGTTATGCAATTTTACAAAAACTCTTGAAAAAAATCGTTTCATAACGTTTTTGGAAAGAAATTCCCTAAAAAGATTGCTTAACTGACTGTATAGTAAGTGGTATTTTAATCAATTGGGCTTGTATAGCGTTGACGTTTAACCGATACGCTGCATGTATATGAATGTTCCATGTAGAAAGAAGTTGAAATTTATATTTGTCTCCATAGAAGAGTACTGTAAATGTTCGAGTAGATGCTGCCGGACCCGTATGGCACTAAAAGTATGATTACTATTTCAAACAGAAGCAGTAACAATTGTATCAACAATTGTATTTTCAATTGCCTTACAGAGAAATGAAGTGCTTGGGTTCCATCAGACGCCTTCCGCAGCGCTACCAGTACGTTTGGATCTGAGCAACGAAGGCTTTGAATTACACGACCATCTAAAATACTATATCCTAATGTAAACCTGAGTACTAAATCAAATGTTCAAGCTGTTCCAGGAACATATCAATAACTCTATATAAAGGCAAAATTGTTCTCTTGTATTCAGGTTCGCTGCCTGCAAGCTCTTTTTCTTTGATAATTTTGAAGTGAACAATGAAAACAATGCTGCTACTTGAGATTCTTTTGATTTCAATTGTCTTCACAACTTTTGCTTCCGCTTCTTCATAAAAGTGATGTATTTGACCCAGAATATGGTTACGCATCTCAACATACACTTCCAATATAGCAATCGGTTCACCATCATCCCATTTTTTGAATATTACCTGTAATTTTTTACGTAAACAACCCCACAAAAAGCCAAAATGCTAGATAATTACTAGATGATTAATAAATTAATAAAGATAAACGACACCTATCAAACTAAGAAGAATATTTGTTTCTTTGAAACATAGAAATAAAAGTATATTGTACATTAAATAAAACATTGTTTACAAATACAGTGCTGAAGTATTTTTAGTTGTTTAAAGGTTTTGCAAATTGATATTCAGTTGCTGTGCTAAGACAAATATATTTAAATTTTTTTTTTTT